AATAAAAAACTTGAAAAATCAAAAACTTAAAAAATTGAAAGATTGAAGAATTGAAGAAATGAAAAATCGAAAATCTGAGAGTTTATAAATGTCAAATTTGAAAAATTGAAAAATCGAAATATTTAAAAATCGAGAAATCGAAGACCAAGTGAAAAATTGAAAATCGTGAAACTGAAAAATTGAGAAATTGTAAAATCGAAAAACTGAATAACAAAAATAAACTGAAAAATCCCAAAAATGAAATTTTGATAAATTGAGAATTCGAAAATTGAAAAAGCAATAAATCGAAAAGCCGAAAAATCGAACAATCTCAATGTCGAGGATAAAAATTCAACCGGGATTCCTAAAGCACAAATTCAGGACTATAATACTTATTAACGTTTAAAGTATGTAGTTGTCAAGTTACTTTATTTTATTATAAGATGCATGTACATACCTGAATAATTTAGTTTCTATTATCATGATGCTCTTCTTTATCTAATAGCAAGTTTTAGCCCCACCCACCCACCCTCTCTTTTCTTACAGGGTATCTCATTTGCCAAAATCAGTTTTATCGTAGCAGGTAGTAGCCCCGCCCACCCGCCCTCTCTTCTCTTAGAAGGTATCTTATTTGCCAAAATCAGTTTTACCTTAGCATGTAGTAGCCCTGCCCACCCGCCCTCTCTTCTCTTAGAAGGTATCTCATTTGCCAAAATCAGTCTTTTCTTGGCAGCTGCTAACCCCGCCCACCCACCCTCTCTTTTCTTAGAGGCTATGTCGTTTGCCAAAATCAGTTTTTCTTAGCAAGTGCTGATAATTAGTTTTTGCACAAAATGAATGAATGGGGCGGGTGGGCGGAGCTTAATTAATGATTGGTTACTTTTTCTTATTATTATATACTTTTCTTTCAACAATGCGATACTTAAAGCATTGGGGCCCCCGAAATTGTCATAATAATTTAAAACAGAAATTCGTGACCCCCTAGATTCTTCAATAATCTTTTTAAAAAATCCAAACAAATATGAATTTTGCAATTAAGCTCCGCCCTCTATCTGACTACAAATGAAAAATTCGTTACAATTGAGATGGGGTGGGTGGGTGGGGCTTAATTAATCATTGGGTTTTTTTTTAATATTATATAGTTTTCTTTCAACAATGCGATTCTTAAAGCATTGGGGCTCCCGAAGTTGTGTCATAATAATTTAACATAGACATTCATGACCCCGAGATTCCTTCATAATCTCCTTAAAAAAGATATTCAGGACGCCCGAGATTCTTTAATAATCTTTTCAAAGAATCAAACAAATATGAATTTTGCAATTAAGCTCCGCCCTCAATCTGACAACAAATGGAAAACTCGTCACAATTGAGAATGGGGCGGGTGGGTGGGGCTTGATTAATCATTCGTGTTTTTTTTTATATTATATAGTTTTCTTTCAACAAAGCGATACTTAAAGCATTCGGGCCCCCGAAATTATGTCATAATAATTTAAAACAGAAATTCGTGACCTCCGACATTCCTTCATAATCTTCTTAAAAAAGACATTATTTAATAATCTTTTCAAAGAATAAACAAGTATGAATTTTGCAATTAAGCTCCGCCCTCAATCTGACAACAAATGAAAAACTCGTCACAATTGAGAATGGGGCGCGTGGGTGGGGCTTAATCAATCATTGTTTTTTTTTTTCTTAATATATTATATAGTGGTCTTTCAACAACGCGATTCTTAAAACATTGGGGCCTTCTAGATTGTATCGTGATTATTTAAAATAGACACTCGTGGCCGTCGAGATTGTGGCAAAATCGTTTTAAATAGACATTTGTGGCTCTCGAGATTCCTTCAAAATCTTTTTAAAAAAGACACTGTAACAAAAGATCTAAGATACATAACGGGTTTAGAAAATTTTCTCTAAAATATTCGTATGATTGCCAACTGTTTTGCACAAAAAGTACTGAAACGTTTTAGTAAATTTGTACTCTTACAACGACGACCGCAAAATTAAATACAGAGTTTTTAGATTAAGATTTTTCAGGAATTACCTTTTTCAAATTTTCAAAAATTTTTTCGGTGATTAAAAACAAATTTAACACAAGTTCTATCAGATATGTTATTAGTGTATTAACTTTAAATTCTCTTTGACAAACGAAATTCGTATAAGGGCTAGACAATTTTTTGGTAATAATAACAATAATAATTATATAAACGACATTACTCGAAGGTGGTAAATCTTTTATTCCTAATTTATAATTTTGATCATTTGCTACTGCATAGCTTCCCCTACTGTGCACACTTTTGAAGCATTGAATTACACATAAATTTTTAAGAAGTGACCTAAACTGAAGTGTTCGGTATTTCTTGTTTCAATCTTATTTGACTGAAAATATTTTCTAACGCATCTTGATGCATACAAAAATTCATAACGTCTAACATTTAAAAAGTACCCCTGAAAATCTAAGATAGTTTTTGTTGGCAAAATTAAACCTGTTTATATTGGTTTCCAATAGCCCCCCTTTCCAATATTGACATTTTTAAATAAAACAATAATTATATTACTGAAAATTTTTCCGAGGTTTCGTATGGTAGAGGAAAGTGTACATATTGCTTTCTAGGTGTAAAAGTCGTTTCATCTAAATATAAACAACATTCTTTTTCATAACCTTTAAAATTCTTAAGGTTTAAATTTAAATAATAAAAAAATTCGTGTAATATACCTGGGTAGAATTTGATATGCTCTATTTTCCGACGTAATGTACGTAAAGATGGCAACAAATAATTTAATTTTAATAAAAATTCACAGCCTGAAGAACCGCAAGAAAATTTAATCGACAGTGCTTTTTCTACAGTCGCGAGGCGCCACCTCCTCAGTTTTTTTTTGTTTAAATACATTTGCAATCACTTATTCGTTTACTCCAAATTTACCTGCAATCACCAGTTTGTCATTAATTTTTGAATTCTCTAAATTTAAAATGTTATTTTTTTTCTTTTTTAAACAATAAATTCCGTCTTAGGTCTGCTGCAATGAATTTTCGTATCACTTTCCTAAACACTCCATTTGCACTAATAATTGTTTTTCACTGAACACTAAATTTAGGATCTTGATATTTTTTCGTTGATTGTTTCTTCTGGGCTAATAATAGACCAAATCTTCTTGATCAAAGTGTACCTTAAATTATAATTTTAAAAATACATAAGAAAGGACTTCACAAAAATAAGTAGTTCACAAATTTTTAAACTAGAACCAATTTTTCACTTTGGACGCCTCAAACTTTCTTTCCAATGGTCTTTTTACAAAAGGGAAAATTATGCAGACGATAATCATCGTTGGCGTTATCATTGCAATTAATTAAACTGCAGTGCATTTAAAAAATATATTTTTTGAACTTTAAGCTTTTACTTCAAAAAATGACAAATTACAAAAAGTTGCTGCAATTATTTTTAAACATTTCAGGGAAACCCGTCGAACCCTAACCCTAAAATAATCGCCCCATTGCCATAAGTCTGATCTAACGTGCGCTGTGCTAACCCGACGCGTTTATTGTTGTTATCATTATTTTTAGTGTCGGTGGTGATTTATAGTTATTTGTGTTAGTCGTTTTAAGTTTAAGTCCTCTCTTTATGGTTACGCATCCCTCATCACCAATAGCCTGAAAATTCTTTTATCTCAGTTTACTTTGTAGGTGTTTTGAAACAGCAGGAACTGTAATAAGACACAGCGTCGACAATTCAATTCAGTTTTATTGCTAGTTCTCTGGGAACAACTTTGCTTACATTGTCGTGTTGCCTTAAGCCAAGAGACTACTAGACGAAATGATGTGCTGAATTCTTTACACTTTGATGCTTTCTATTACGCTTTACAGAGATATTATATAAAATTACGTACTTCCGGTAACTGCAATCATTCGTGTTTGTTTATTTTTCCTATATTTCCCCACAATAAGTTAATAATACCCCATTTAGGTTACAAAGGTTACATTTTCGGTGTTGTATTATGATACTCCACAACTTGAAAACACGCAGGTCGGAAAAGACCGAAAACACTTTGTTTCGTTGCTTTGTTTGTTTGCTTTTATTATTTTCATAAAATAAATGTGGGCGTTTCAAATTTGCGATAAAAGTCAAAACAAAAAAGGAAATAAACTCCGGTTAAGCACACCCCTTTCACCATTCAGTTTCACCGCAAAAATATACAAAAACTTCAGACAACAACACGTCATATTTACAATGAAGTTACTCGCTAATTAAAACTTGTAAAACAATTTTTTATATTAATTAACCTAACGACTCTAACTTTTAAACAGGAATATTTTTTAACAGGTATATAGTGCGGGTTCTAGATCACTTTTAAAGAGAAAATTTGAAGTGACTTATTAAAAATAATTTTCTGATTTAATTAACACATCTTCACTATGGTAGTAATTTCTAAGAACGACAGTATGTTATTACTTACTCTGTTCTTTGTTCGATTTTAAAAATAACCCTATTGTGATTTTTTTACGAACGTTTGTAATGCTAAAAAAAATCAAAAAATTGGAATAACGTGTGGAGGTAAGAATTTTCTTATACTCTAAGCCTAATTCAGTTCTTTTACATTAATCTTACATTCGGAAAGTGTCGCAATACAAAAACCGTGATTTTTATATAGTTTAAAGTGGGAATTATATAAAATTGCATATTAAGCTCGTTATTCGCTCGACAATTGTGACCTACTAACAAGAAATTTACATTCGATTTATATGCAAAACACACCCTAGTTCCATATTGTGGGAAAACTTAGCTGTTCTACAACAAAGACAATTATTATTGCAAGTTATTTGCTTTTTACACTATAATATTTCTCGTAGATAAGTTGAATCTGGTAATACAAATAAATTACGTGTTGTACACCCACCGAATGAACTTTATGAATTATTGATGTGTAATAAACAACAAATTACATCGACATTTTACTCATCATCATCAGTCATTATCCAAACACCCAGCTAAAGCACATGCATCATCCGTAATGTGTTTCTGTTCCAGAATAGACTCCGACCGGAATAATGCCCGGACAAGTATCAAGATCAACAAAATGAAGCGCCTGTGCTTTCGTCCCAAGCTTGCCACAATTCACCGTACTCGCCAACTTTAGAGACACGAAATAGTCGATTTAGCTAGAAAATCAATCATGACTGAATTCGACGAAAATAACAGTAATTTCACAACGGAAGACACAATGTCTACTCCCATCTACCTTTCGCAGAACGACTCCGACCTGCCGAACGGGACGAACTTCATTCCTGAAAGGGACTACATATACGACGAAATTTACATTAGGATTATCTTCATCTCTCTTTACACCGTCGTATTTTGTTTGTGCTTCTTCGGTAAGTCTAATTTTGTTTGTAACGAAATTATTGCGCGCTTGTTTGTGAAACGTTTGATAACGTCGATAACTGAGGTACGATTTTCGGAAAGTCGAATTATGTGTTTACCGGATTTTTAATTAAAGATAAAGAGCTTCCTGTGCATTTCGCGACGAGCTAAATAAAGAAATAACAGTGTGTTTACATTCTGATATCGCCCAAAATCCAATTTGTGTCAAACAGGATTAAGCTCATTTTATATTGTTTAATTAGGAGGTACGCTTATTACTCTTTGTTTACAATAATCGTAATATTAAATTGTAATTTTAGCATGCCGGGTTAATTTAATTATAGTATTATTATCCCCGGCGCATCCACCAAAATTGCACTCCATTTTTTAATTAAGGGAGAAGTTGGCATTTTATTCTTTGTGCAGGAAATGTTAGACGATTTTCCGACTTTAATCTGCTTGGAGATGCCACACTAATGCCATAACTTCCAACGGCCACAATTAGAGTCGTAAAGATTTAGTAGACCTAATAATCTGTCCGGGAAAATCAGTCCGTAAAATATTAGTTTATGGAATTATGGAAGTGTGGCTTATGTATCAGGAAGACGATTAAATTTAATCTACGCCCCGATTGTATGAGGGTTATAAATTTTAACTAGGTAAAAGCTGTGGCCATCATTTGCTGAAATTGATGGAATATTTTCACGTCACTGTGTAACCTCCAGTGAGTACATTAACATTTAGAGCAACTACACGCTTTTGATCTTATAAATAGATTCAATATGATGAAATCTTTCCAGACTTCACTAAATTTTTTGTTTTTTAATAAACTTTCATATAACATTTTTCGAGGTAACGTGATCAGCGTTTTAGAGGGGAGCAATAAACACACTCATTAGTGTTCCATTACCGTAAATCAGCGTTAGTTTCAATAAAGGTCGCTATTTTCCGATAATGAAAATTAACTGTGTAGCGCTAATGTTTGAAATATTACAAAGTCAAAAGTACTTGGAGAAAAATTTATATTCAAGTCATTTGAAATTGAAATTGTGTTAACGACTGTTTCCTCAACAATGTCTACTTATTTCAAACTGGCGACGGTATTGATTTTCATTTAACGCGAAATGTTGTAAAAGTATATTATGAAGAAGTTGTGGTTACCTTGTTTAGATTAAACAAAATATATGGTCGTTTTACTAAGTACAACGGAATTTATAGTGGAGTTCAACCACTTAGTGAGCAATATACTCCACGTAATACGAATACTTTTCAGCAACACGTAATATATCCCTACAACAATTTACTGCTAATGCACTGTGTCACCGTCATTAGTTTGCCCCAAGTTACTATACACTCGTTAAATCTCGCAGGAATTTACTTGATTAATTCGGGCGCTTATTGCAACTCAAAAAATAGTAAAAATGACGCAAAATTTTGAAACGATTGGCTAAAAATTTGTCCTAATTAATAAAATACCTCAGTTTGATCAGGGAGTGTTTTCATCTTAATCAAATCTCATCAATTATCATTTGAAATGGTTGTTTTTGCCGCATGTGCGCTGTTTAGTAAACACTTTCATCAAGAAGATTAATGAATTAAGTAGCTAATTTGAACTAGACAACACTGTTTTAATCCAAAAGATGTATATTGTTGTGTAAAAGATCTCCTGTTTCCGTCTGTCTGTCACCTATTCTGTTTTTTTTTTGGTCCATCGGATTTTATTAGACAAGAAATCTCCGAACTACTACATAAATTGTTTAGAGGCACTTTTTTTTTAATATATATATACATAACCTTCTTGGTTTTTAAAATTGATGGCGTGTATCCCGTAAGGGGCTCTTCCCATTCCACACTGTTGGCACGTTTTGGTTTTGACGACTTACAGACAAGACGCATTAGGGCTTCTTTAAATTTTCTCCATAAACTAATACACTTTCAAATTGATTGTCCTCATCTCCTTAGTAAATTGTCATTTTCTGTTCCGAGACCTTCGTCCCGGTACCATTACTCATTTTACTTACCAACTCCTCGTATTGACATTGAAAAGCACTCTCCAATATTTGAAATGTGTACCCTGTACAATCAACATCAAAATACTTTCGATGTTTTCATGTGATACACTGATAACTACTTTCTCTGGCGTTTCTTCCAACGGTCTAATTGTCCTATTGTCATAATTTAACCTTTCTGGGTCAGGCGGTAATTTATAGCTGCGTGATGAATTTAACAGTAGTTTTTATACATCTATACCTTCTGTATGTATCTGTTGGTCTGTAATTGGGACTAGTGCCTGTTGACCAACTTACTCTAATAATAATAATAATAATAATAACCCCGATCCCATATGTATATTTCTTTCCATACTAAACGCCTTGATATCCGATATGAAGACTACAGTGGGATTCATAAACTTGCTGTTGATGTTGAAATTACCGATTTAAGTTGATTACTACAAAAATTTACCATTTTGGACATGTTTTAAATTTCTTGTTGTCGAACTAAGTCTGCACATGTTATGAGAGAAACCCAAAATGTAGCCCCGCCCACCCGCCCTATCTCAACTGTGATGATTTTTTTTTATTCGTCGTGAGCCAAAGGGGCGAAGCTTAACTGCAAAATCCTTATTTCTCTACGAGAAATTAAAAACATGTTTTTGAGTATCGTGTTGTTCAAAGAATACTTACTATGTATATATTAAGAAAGAAATAGAGCCAAAGATTAGGCCCCACCCATACCCGCCCCGATCTCAATTCTCAATTGTGATGAATTTTTCATTCGTTGTCAGATCGAGGGGCGGGGCTTAATTGCAAGATCGATATTTGTCTATAAGAATTTACCATTTTAAACATGTTTTAAGTTTCTTGTTCTGAAAAGACGACTACACACATTAAGAAAACAAGGCAAAATGTAGCCCCGCCCACCCGCCCTATCTCAATTCTGATGTTTTTTTTATTCGTCGTGAGCCAAGGGTACGGAGCTTAATTGCAAAACTCTTATTTCTCTACAAAAACTAAAAAACATGTTTTTGTTGTGTGTTGTTCAAAGAATAGTATGTATATTAAGAAAAAAACAGCCCAAAAATTAAGTCCCATCCATACTCATCCCAAGCTCAATTATGATGAATTTTTTATTCGTTATCAGATAGAGGGGAGGAACAAATTGCAAAATCAATACTTTCTTGCCATTTTAAACGTGTTTTAGATTTCTAAGAATAAAAAAAATCATCACAATTGAGATTGGGTGGGTGGGCGGGGTTTATATTTTCCTTTTTTTCTTGATATACCTACATAGTATTCTTTGAACAACACGATACTCAAAAACATGTTTTTAATTTCTTGTAAAGAAATAAGTATTTTGCAGTTAGGCTCCACCCCCTTAGTTCTCGGTGAATAAAAAAAATCATCACAATTGAGAGAGGGTGGGTGGGCGGGCTTACATTTTGCCTTTTTGTTTTAATATGTGTAGACTTCTTTTCACAACATGAAACTTAAAACATGTTTAAAATGAAAAATTTTAATAAAGAAATATGGATTTTGTAATTAGTCTCCTCCCTATAATTGCAAAATCCATATTTTCTTGCAAAAATGTACCATTTTAACCATGATTTAAGTTTCTGGTTGTGAAAAGATGGCTAGGTATATTAAGAAAAATAAGGCAAAAGATAAGCCCCACCCACCCGCCCTATCTCAATTCTGATGATTTATTTTTATTCGTCGTAAGCCGACGGGAGGAGCTTAATTGTAAAATCCTTTTTTTTTCGAAGAATGATGAGATATGAAATATGTTCTTAAGTAATGGTGTTTTACAAAGAAAACTAAATGTATTAATTAAAAAAGAAAACCAAAAGGGAAGCCCTCTTATTTCCCGCTAAACTTTAATAAATTGTTGTTTATTTCAGGAATTACATCCATCCTAAACATAGTTGTCTCTCCATACTAACCGGGTCTAAAAATTAGGCCATAGGACGGGAAATCGTATGCTGAAAATTGCAGAACGAATACTTAAACGATTCTAGAGTTAAGTATGTTCCTTTAAAGTTGATATATTTTTCTGTTTATAAAAGACACGAGTCCCATATATTTTTTCTTTCCATACTAGACGATTAGAATATGCAGTCGGACCATCAATCCGTAGAACCAGAAATCTTCGAGGAATCGAATGTTGAAAACCGCAGAACGAATACTTATACCATTCTAGAGTTATGTGCCGCTAGAATTCCAAACAAACTTTTTTAATTCATGAATTACACCCGTCCCATTTATCTTGTTCTCTGCATACTAAATGAGTAGAGTATCCGATCTGAAAACCAGACCGGATAACGAGAAGACTTCCACAAATCGAATATTGACAATCGCAAGGCGGATACTTAAACCGTTCTAGAGTTACGCCCCCTTTAAAATTTGAAAAATTGTTTTTTAATTCATGTATGACATCAGTCCCATTTATATTGTTCTCTCTATATTAACCGGTCTGCAAACCTATGACCAGAAAACTTCAATTGAATGCTGCCAACCGCAAGACCAATACTTAAATCGTCTTGTAGTTAATTCACCTATGACACTAGTCCCATATATATTTTTCTCTCCATATTAAACGTGTGGAGTGTCTCGTCTAAAAGTCGGCATCTAGGATCAAAAAACCTCGAGAAATCGAATAATGAAAATCGCAAACCGTTTTGAAGTTATATCCCGGCAAAATTTGAAAAATAGTCTTTTAATTTATGAATGACTCCAATCCCATTTATTATTTTCCCTCCATATTAAACAGGTAGAGTGTCCGGTCTGAAAATCAGGTCTTAAGATCAAAAAACTTCTAGAAATCGAAGGCTGACAACCGCAAGGCCGACACTAAATCCGTTCTGTAACTACGTCCCATTATATTTGATTTGTTTTAATTTGTTCGTAAATGACACACGTCCCATATAATATTTTTCTGTCTATACCGGACACAGTTAGTGTGTCTGGTTTGAAACTCGGTCCCCAGAACCAGAAAACTTCAGGGAATGGAATGT